AGTCATCATTAAAAAGAAATATGTTACACATATCAATTTGATTTCTTTCAAATATTTAAGAAAAGGGTTGATGGGGCAAAAAGAAACCATATGTTTAACTTTTTACAAAACTGCAGGTTATCCAACTTTTCAGACTCACCTGCAATGAATGTAGTTAGTAAATTTTTTCTTTTGGGACCAGTGATTGAATCCAGGGGCTTTTAACTATTAAACCACATCCCCATCCCTTTTTTTTATATTTTGATATGTGTAACATATCAATTTCAAATATACTATGCTGAATGAAAAAAAGGAAGAGTACACACTGTATGATTTCACTTATTTGAGATGTTAAAATATGAAAAACTAGACTATAGTGTTAGAAATCATATCAAAGTTTGTTTCTGGTGGGAGGTTTGACAGGGAACAGACAGCAGGGATCTTTCTAGGGATGATAGAAATGTTCTGTATCTTGACAAAAATTATTCTAAACAGATTAAAGAGTTTACTTAAGGCCTGAGCATTTCACTATATGTAAAGTATAATAAAAATTAGTGGCAAAGATGATTGAATCTTGTTTGATGGTAACATGTCCAACATAGTATGCTTTCAAATCTTATGTTTAGACTCTTCAGAGTAAAATGCTGGGGAATATAACTTAATAGATTTATTGTTTAATTTCCTCAGTAATTAGTTTTAGTAACAGTTAAGACCACACACTATCTAAAAAGTACAAAGAAGTGAGGAGATGTGGTTAGAAATAGATGTGTGCTTGGTAGAAGAAGAAAGGTGGAGGGAAAACCATTTGGGAGGCTTGAGTTTGGTTATAAGGGGAGAGGAAGTAAACAGTAGGAAAAAAATAGATGTAAAAATCAGTAAATTCTGATGGGTTCAGAGGTAGGAAGGGAAAGGATGAAGATAACTGGTGCTTGGAACCAAATTCAATATTCCATACTTGGTTTGACTAGGTTGCTCTTTTCTATTGTTACTCAGAATATCATATGTTTCTTAATAATTCTCAAAAGAATGCTTTTTTCCTGTTTATATATTGATCAAAGTCAACTAGTTTAGACAAAATATTTAGATATAAATCAGCTATTTAACTATTTAGATATAAAAATATCTTTCATTAAGTTTATAAAGTATACTCATAAAACTGATTTCATTTAATCCTCCAATATCCTGATCAGGTACGATTATTTCTATTTTACAGATGAGAAAAATCAGGATGAAGCTGGGCTCAGTGTTTCATACCTGCAAATCTAGCTATTCAAGAGGCTGAAGCAGAATTGAAAGTTTGAAGTTAATCTGGGCATATTAAGACCCTATCTTAAAATAAAATTAAAAAGGGACTGGGATGTAGCTCAGTGGTAGAGCTCTTACCTAGCATACCTGAGACTCTGGTTCAATCTCTCTGGTACTGCAAAAATAAAAATAAAAAGATGATAAAACTGCTCAAGTTACACAGCTATTAGATGGAAAAGCCACTTCTGATGCTTTTGACTTCATGCTGTATAATCTTAGGACACTTCAATCATAGTACTTATAATGATTTCTATTTGGATACATTTTAAGCAGGTAGAGTAGCTCAGTAATTGCCTAAAGACTCAATCCATAAAGTGTTAAAATATTGTATCATTGGAATTGTAAGGAGGAAAAAATTTGTAATGTAATGGAATTCCTATGGTAGAAGAGTTCTACTTGTGGTATTTTCATATGTGGGCTATCCTGGGTGGTGAGACTGCTGTATGTTCCCCCTTTCCTACTGTTCTCCAGGGGTGTTATGCCACAGTATAAGATAACTGGACCTAAGTAAGTGCAGGTATTTTGATCTGTTTTTGCAGCACTGGAGATCAGATAAGGGACTCACCCATAAGTACTCTACCTCTGAGCAATATATTTCAGCCATTTTAAGAGTCTTGCTAACTTGTCGGCATTGCAGGCACACAGCACAATACCAGGTCAGCTTTTTTTTTTTTTCTTTTTTTTGATGAATAGGATATAAAATCTGGATTGAATTGAATTGCTCACAATAGAGAAGACGGTTATTTTTTTTTTTTACTCTTTCCATTCAGGCTTTCCTTTAAAAACAACTGTTAGGGAATATAGTTCAGAAAAGGCACCAAATTAATAATCTGGTTTTGGGACATAAACTAGCACCCTGTAGCAGACCATATATATATATATATATATATTGTGTGTGTGTGTGTGTGGTACTGAAGGATAAACCTAGGCCTCAGGCATGCTAGGCAAGAGCTCTACCACTGAGCTACACACCCAGCCCTTCATATATATATATATATATATATATTTTTTTTTTGAAGTAGGGTCTCACTAAGTTGCTGAGACTGGCTTTCAACTTGCAATCCTCCTACCTTAGGTTCCTGAGGCATTACAGGTCAGATTTACAGGCCTGAGCCACTGCCTCCAGAAACTTTCAAAGTCTGTTAAACATGTTTAACTCTACTGAAGTATAAATTAAGGCCTAAAGAAAATAAACAAGAATAAGCCAAACTGAGATCACAAAGTTAATGGTGAAGAGTCAGTATTAGAACCTAGACATTATTCATTTATTCCTTTATTTCTTAACTATTATTCCTTAGACATTTATCAGTCATCATAATCTAGTGGGTTTAACTTTTTTTTTTTTTTTTGGTACCAGGGATTGAACTCAGGGGCACTCGACCTGAGTTTCTTAGTGTCTCAGCATTGCTGAGGCTGACTTTGAATTTGAGATCCTCCTGTTTCAGCCTCCCGAGCCACTGGGATTACAGGTGTGTGCCACAATGCATGGCTGGGTCTAACTTTTGATAAGCATGTTAAGTGGTTTTATTATATGTAATAAACAATTACACAAATACCTACATAGTTAATATGGAAACATAAAAAGTTCTTTATGGAAGGTCATAATGATGCTGGATACTAGGAAATATGACTTGGTAACAACAGAAATGAAGTCAAGTCATACGAGTACAAATATACAGACAAAACCTATATTGCAACCTTGACTTGGGTAGGGAGACAGCTTCCACAAGAAAGTGTCAGGGCAGCTTCCTGGAATAAGAGAGTTAATTTATTGGTGGCTTGCAGGGGTGGGGTTTATATATGTTGATTGGCCTTAAGGTGCGCTTTCAACTTATTTGAATAAATTAACTTTTGCCCTATAAGAATAAATTAACTTGGGGAGGCACTAAGCAACTCAGTAAGACCATCTCTAAAAAAGGGCTAGGGATGACTCAGTGGTTGAGCATCCCTGGGTTCAGTTCTCAGTATCAAAAAATAAAATAAAATAAAAGAATTAAGTGAAAGCAACCTGGCTTTAATGATGTACCTGGTAGTGTTTGAGGATGGATAAATGGATAACATTTGGTTATGTGACAAATTGTGAATTAAGTGAGACATTTTAATTACTGTTAAGCTATAAGCCAAGGCTCAGGAGTGTATTTGCTCTTTGTCCCTATGGTGGTCTCTGATGATATAGGATAGTCTATGAAAAGTTAAAATTACAAAAAATTTAGTTTGAAGATCTTAATTAGCTTTTCTCCATGATTCTCTAGGGCTGCAGTGCAATCAGACATTCAAATGTAGAAAACAAAAGTGAACTGCTGGCATCTTATTTGGTTATAGCATGTTTTTTCTTTCTCTTACTGGAGTCAGCAGGCCCTTGGAGGGACTGAAGCTCAAAACTCAGCTATTTATTGCAAATGTAGGCTCAGGTCAGGGTTTATGGTTAGCTTATGTATTGGTAGTTTAGCGGTAAAGACTCAAGTAAGGAGGCACTCTAGGGCCTACACTTACTATAACAAGGGGGATTTTAATTAGAATCGGTAATGTGAGTGAGGAAGCCAGTAGGTAGAAGCCAGATTAAACAGGGCCTTCTAATTCATAGTTATGCAGTCCTTAGGTGGTGGTGGTGGTGGTGGGTGTTTCCCATTCCCACCCACCTCAACCAGGAAATTTGAACTTGACTGTCCAGTTTGACTCAGCATCTTCTCTCATCCTTTCTGAAGAAGTTACACTTAAACTTTTAAAAGATGAACAGATCCAGAGAGCCAAAGGAGAACGGGAATTCTTGTCCCAAGGACCAACATTTCGAGGTCTTCAAACCTGCAGAGGTGGAGGGGAGGTCTGCTGGAGAACCTGGAAATTGTGCTAAATTGCTGGAATGAGTGGAGTGGGAAGAGGGGAAGAGACAGTAGGTAGGAGCCAGATTAAACAGGGCCTTCTAAATCATATTGTTATGCAGTCCTTCGTTGTTGGTGGTGGGTGTTTCCCATTCCCACCCACCTCATCCAGGAAATTTGAACTTGACTGTCCAGATTGACTCAGCATCTCTTCTCAGCCTTCATTAGCAGCTGGGGGGGTGGGGGCGGTATCAAGCTTCCTTCCACCCACTGGTCAATTCCTTCTTTCCTGGCTCTCAGATTTCCCTGATCCCTTGACTTTTTATCAGAGCCCTTCTGGGTGCTCTTATTTCACTTCGCCCAGTCCCACCCCTCGACTCTTAACTTTGCAGTCCCTGACATTCAGGCGTCCTTCAAGGCCAGGAAAAACCAGCCAAGTTAATACTTGAAGGACGTTAGCAATTTAAAGAGGTCTCACCCATGCAGCACCTTTAGTCGGAACAGTGGCTTTCCCAACACCCCACTTCAACTGTTCCGCCCCGACTACTCTGGGGATGGTTTTATTTGCAACTGTTTTCTCAGCGCACAGCCACCGAGGGAAGGGGACCGTTACAATCTTCCCGAATGTTATTATCACACGTCCCGGCCACGTCTCCAAACCAGGCCCTCCTCTGAGCCCGCAGGTAACACCGCAGACGCGACAGAGCCTTGAGAACCCGCAGGCGTCTCCACGGTAGTCCGGCGACGCGCGGCCGAGAGGGACCAGGCCGCGGCCCCGACGCCGGAAGCATACGGGGCGCGAGCGGGAGGGCGCAGCCGGCGCACAGGGGGCGGGGCTCCCGCGCTGGTCACGTGACGGCCCGGCGGCGGCAGCGGCGGCGGCGGTGGCGGTGGCCGCGGCGTCTTCAGGGGCGCCCAGTGCAGGATGGTGCTGGAGGCGGCGGCGGCCGTGGTGGCGGCGGCGGCGTTGTTGGCGGCAGCGGGAGGGGGAGCGGTGGCGGCAGCGGCGCCCACGGGTGGTATAAAATGGCGGATTTCGAAGAGTTGAGGGTGAGCGGGGGCGCGGGAGCGGGGACCGGAGGCCGCGGCAGAGGGTGGGGAGGGAAGCGGGGAAGCCGCAGCGTCGACGGCCGCCGCCTGCTTGTTTCGCTGGGGGGCCGGTTGGCGGAGCCTTGCGACCGGCGACCGAACGGGCCCGAGCGCGCGGGGGAGGGGAGCGAGCGGGCGGAGGACGCGGGCGGCTGGCCTGGGCCGAGGGCGGAGGACCGCACACCTGGCGCGGGGGCCGGGTACCCTCGGGAGGCACGTGGACCGACCCCTGAGCCTGTAGGGCCGCAGCTTTTGGTCCCCACCTTGGCAAGAGCTGAAGGTGTCCGTGGCGATTCAGAAGCCCTCATACTTGATACTCAGTTGTTGGAGGACCGTTTTCTGCGACGTGAAGTTGGCGTTTAGGAATTTTTCTCTCCTGCTTTTATGATTGAAGCTACCGATTAGTCAGATCTGTCACGAGAAAAGGCCTCTTCCTCCCACCCGTGCTTCCCATGTATTGGAGAGAAGCGTGGTCTTTTGGGAACACTGCATTCGTGATCGACCTTAAACCTTGATATTAGTGCGGTGGTTAAGAAATCTGCAAAGTCCATTTGTTTGGTCTATGCACTCCTTCTGCTCTTGAAAAGAAATAATTTTTCTTAGCCCTAGAATAAAGTCATAAGTTTATTGTTGATACCTCTGTATAGTAAGGGTTTGAAATGGAGTTGTTTGGGGTTAAGTGAAAAAAGATGATTTTTTTTTTCCCCACCAGATTGATAACCTTTAGAGAATCTGTAACTTAAACAAAACTGGATGGATTCCTGAGTTATTGGCAATATATGGGATGTTTGCAGATTGAACTACATTTTTTAAAAGTCAAGATTTCTAAGTAAAGATGAGTGTGAACTAAGATGAACTGCGACCCAGTTTGCATGAAACATACGTGTGATATCAGAGTTACTTTATCGAATTCGGCAAGATTCACTTTTGTATGTTTATTATTGTTTGGGGGATGGCGTGGGGAAAAGATGTAGTCTGGTTACGAATCCGGCAAGATTCACTTTTATATGTTTATTATTTTGGGGATGGAGTCAGAGAAAGATGTGGTCTGGTTACCTGGTAGTTTAGTGGAACATCAGCAAAGTACAATATCATTTTCCCTCCTGTTTCAAAAAGAATTGTTTTCCATTGAAGAGAAAAGTATGTTAGTGTATGTTATAACCCATATAATTTCAACATGATAAAGGATGTTCCTAGTTCATAAGTCTAAGGGTTTTAGTTGCTCAGTGCTTCAGCTGTGGCACTTTAAACACCTGTGGCAGGCGTCACCTCACCTTTGTAAACATGCTAGGCTTTGGATGGGTTGAGAAGACTGAACTTTGAAGTTAAATTTATTTTTATCTGCATTGTTGTCTTAACTTGTGTAGTAATAGTAACGGATGTAACTTTTCCTCCAACTTTTTTTTTTTTTAAGTGGGGGGCAGAAGGGATGGTGAACACTTTTCAGGATTTGTATTTAATTTTTTTTTTTTTTTTTTTTGGTCTCCGGAATTGAATCCAGGGGTGCTTAACCACTGAGCCATGTCCCCACCCCTTTTTACTTTAAGACAGGGTCTCACTAAGTTGCTGAACTTGTGATCTTCCTCCCTCAGTCTCTGAAGCCACTGGGATTACAGGTGTTTGCCACCAGGCCTAGCTTGTATTTGACTTTTATAGATGTTTTTGGTCAAAACTTAATATGAAGCAGAGAATTAACTTAATCTGTTTATGGCAGAAAGGGCAGTCAGTGCTTAGATCGTAGTAAATCCAGGAACTATCAAGTGGCGGAAACCAAAGACAATTTTTTTTTTCTTTTTGTGCCTCCCTTACTATCTTTTTCTCATTTGCTCTGTGGATTAACTTCAGATTCTTTTCCTGTACATCAGCTGTATTTGATCGAAGATGGTCCCTTTTTCAGTTCACATCAGGGTGAGCTAGTTAGGGACAAAGGGCAAATGCACTCCTGGGCCATGGCTCACAGCCTGACAGCCCTCTAACCTGAAGTCCCTCTAACTGCCTATACCAAATGTGCTTCATTTATCAATCCTGAAACAGTGCCAGGCATATCAATAATCAGGTCCTGACTTAACTCATAGGTTGCCCGCACAGGTTGAAGCACACCTAAAGTCCATGAACATATCTAAACTCAACCATTGCAAGCAGGCTATAAAGCTAGCTCCTTTCTCTTGTTTCAGAGAGCCAATCTGTCACTTTCTCTTGTGAGCTATCACTTCTTTTCAAAGTGGTGGCCCCAGTGAGGGCTGTGCTTGTATATTTAAACTTCTGTGACTGAATTTCGTTTCTGTTATGAGTCAGAGTTCCCCAAGTCCAGCATCAAGGCAAACAACAGATTTGGGAGAGTTTTCAGAGAGAGGGAAGTTTACTGGCTGAGAAGAGGCAGAAAATATTATCTACTCCTCTTTGTGATAGCTTCTCAGGCTAAACTGATATAACTGTACTTAAAGATTAACTGTATCCCATCTTTCCCCACTGTAAACAGTGATGATGATGGCTTATATCCATTATGATATAATGCTTGGCTTTGGTTTAGGTACTTCATGTATACATTCTATTCTCACAATTCTATAAAGAAATTAGGCACAGAGAGATTAAATAATCTTACAAGCTCACAGGTTGGCCTGGAAATACTGGGATTTTTAACCTCAGTCATTTAGCTTTAGTGTCCTTTGCCCTTTAAAGCCCCTGCTATATTGTTTGTTTAGGTTCCTTTAGGTCTAGCTGGAAATCCTAGCCATCTTCTTGAAATTTATGGATTAAATTAAATGATAATCACACACTTCTTATAGGACAGAAGGAAAGCTGACTAAAATACTTAGGAAGAGAAGGGGAAGAAGTATCTAGGACTCTCAAAATGATGGTCTCAGGTTCAGAATATTGTCTGATGGTCAGAGTGTAGACAGGTAATTTATAGAACCCGAAGAATTATGAGCAATAATTGTTTAGCTATCTTGTTGGCAGGAAATGGTCAGCTGATCTGGATGCCACATATCTGGATGCTGCTGATATTGCTGCTGGGAGTATTTTTGTTACCCTTCAGTGTCACTCCCTACAAATCAGTAAAGGACTGGAATAATTGGAACTCGTGCTGAATCTGTAGTGGAGGTTGGGAATTTGGGGAAAGTTTATTCAGTGTGTTTTAGTAGCTTTACTTTTTAGGCTTGGGAGGTTTATTTGATGAGACATTCCCTGTTTTTGAGATTGCTGTGTGAGCCGGTATTAGAGATATTGTCTGGTAACAGTAGAATATGGCAACCCTACACTGCCATTAAAGCTCAGTGTTCAGTAGAGTACCAGTCCACCTCTCTTCCTATTCTTCTGGGAGAGAGAATCTGAACTGCAGAGTTTGGATGATGATCCACTCCTGTTCTAATCTATAGCTAGGGGGTTAATAGTCATAGCATACAAACCTGACTTAGGAAGTGATCCCGATGGGTTGAGGGAAAGGAGGCAGTTCTCTGAGAAAAAAAGTTCTGGCATGTGAAATCAAAGATGATTATAATACTGCGTCATGTGTTAGAGATTTTCAAGGTGCCAGAGGAGCTGGATTGCAGTGGGATACTCTTGCTATGCTGGAGACTGAGGCAGGAAGATTTCAGTTCGAGGCTAACTTGGGCAATTTAGTGAGACCCTGTCTGAAAATTTTAAAAAGGGCTGCGAGTGTAACTCAGTGGTAGAACACATTCCAGCAAGTGTAAAGCACTGGATCCAATCCCCAGTACTGCAAAAAAAAAAAAAAAAAAGAAAGAAAGAAAAAAAAAAGTGCCAGAGAAAAAAATTCTTCAGTTCGCCAGCTACTTGTTTATAGCTCTTATGTTGTTAGGTCTTGAAGTGCAGGTTAGCTAGTTTGTGAATGGATAAGTTTGTGAATTATCTAGTTCTGCATTAATGTGGCACAAGATTTAATAGTCTGCATTTTGTCATTGCTGCCTTGCTTCCTCCCCTCAAAATAGTATAGAGGAGCCAAGCCCTGAAGTGGTGAAGAGGCAGAACAGTTGGGTTTTTGGAACCATATACCTCTTCAGCCAGAGCAACTTTTTTCTTTCTTTCTTTTTTTTTTTTTTTTTTTAATTGTAGTTGGGCACAAATCTTTGTTTGTTTGTTTTTATGTGGTGCTGAGGATTGAACCAGGGCCTCACATGTGCTAGGCGAGTGCTCTATTGCTGAGCCATAACCCCAACCCCCAGAGAGAGCAACTTTTTTTCTTTACTTGTTTTTCTCCTCCTGTTGGCATAATTTCAATACTGTGGGTTACTGGTAGCAGTCATTCTTACAAAGGTCCTTGTATTTAACCTGGTCAATTCACTCTCCTTGCCTCTTTCTACTCAACATTGGGGAGGGGGATCTATTAGTGACTTTTTTTTTTCCCTGAAAGGATCTGCTTATTATTTATCTTGTTCCTTTCACTGATTGAGAGCTTATTCTGTATGTGTGCTTTGGAAAATGAGTATAAAGATACATGCCAGAGTCTGAGTGTGTATTTGGGTTGATGAAAGAGCAAATGATTATGACTTTCTTCATAGCTGTGGGCAAACCAGTTTACCAAAGTAGGTAAGTTTGCTGTTGTGCCATAATTTCAATATCAGAGTTGGGTCTTTTTGGTATTGGGGATTGAACCCAGGAGCAACTTTTATCACTGAGCAACATCCCCAGTTGTTTTTATTTTTTATTTTGAGACAGGGTCTCTGGTATTATATGTGTACCATGCCTAGCTTGGTACTATATTTTATGAAATTGAACAATTGAGTAAAAATAATGAGTGAAATCAATTTGTATCATAATCCAAACTCTTCTGTATTAATGTTCATTTTGAATCCACTAGTAACATAGCTTTTTCCTAGACTTTCTGAAAAAATGTTTCAATACATATTTTTACAAATAAGATCTTTATGACTTTGCAGAAAGTAATATAAACCTACCATAAACATTCGGAGCACTCCATTTGGCTTTATATAGATCAGATT